GGCGTGCTGGTGCATGCCAGTGATCCCAGAACTGGGGAGGCAGAGGCAGGAGGATCGCTGGAAGTTTGAGGCCAGCGTAAAACACTGTCTCAAAAAACCAAAAAGGTTGAGGATGTCGCTATGTGAAACCCCTTGATTCAATTCCCAATCTCTCTCTCTCACACAGTGGGGATATAGCTTAGTGTAGGGCATTGTATGTGTAAGGCCCCCCGAAACACATGCGCGCACACACACGCACACACACGTAGTCTCTATGAACCAGTATGGATTTCAGACCTTTGTAAAACTGAGTCGCGGTTGAGGACCAACTATACTTGGAAGAGAGCCTTAAACATTTACCAGTTGTCAGGAGCTATTATGCTATGCGGGTGAAGAAAGGAACTGTACATTGGAAGGTAAAATGTAGAAACAAAAACCTGCCACGCAGTTGTTTTAACCTCGTAAGAGTTCTTAGTCAAGAGCTCTGGCCTGGCAGGATGGTGCACACCTATATTCCCAGCTACTGAGAGGGGTGGAACAGGATTACATGAGCTCAGGGGTCTGAGGCCAGCCTGGAAAGAGTGAAAGTCTCAAAAAAAAGTCTGAATCCGACACGCAACTCTGCCTCTGCCTGGAGATTCCCAGGCCCCAGATTTCCACATGCTTCACATAACCAACACTGTTAACAACTCTGAAACTATCAACTAAAGAAAAGGGACAGAATTAGGTTTTCAGATCTTGAAATTTAGAAGACTTTGAAGTATGTGGGACGGTTCAAGAAGTCAAGTTCAGGAATCACTCACTCATCAAAAACCTAGAATAGTTTTTGGTACAGGATCTCATAATGTAGTAAGACTGGCCTTGAACTCATGGCGATCCTCCTGCCTCAGCCTCTCAAGTGCTGGGATCACAGGTAAGTGTCACCACGCCAGCTTTCAACTGAACTTGTTCTGATACTGGTGACTACCAAGGGTCCATCTAAGCAAGTGCTCTACCACTTACCAGCTTTTCACCTTCAACTTCAGGAATTACTGGCCTGGGGAGCCACACTACACACCAAGTTATTTCACAATTTTTATAAAATTCTCCAGCTGTTCCAACTGGTTTATTTTCTTTTCCCTTATTACCTTTACCCTACCCTTCCCACTTCCCCTACACCTTTATGTTCCAACTGGTTTAAAAAAACACAGGGTTGAATGCAGGGCATGCTGGGCATTGAACCCAAGGCCTCACACATGCTAAGTACATGAGTAACATCTCCAGAGCCCAAAGAAAAATTTTCTCAAAGCAAACAGCGGGAGGGAAGACCCAGCTCTAAAATGTTACAAATCAGGAACTGAGAGGTTACCTAGTTACTACTCCATGCCGATGACAGCATCAGCCTGGCATCAGGCCAGACCTGCCCCACCCTCCACCACCCCTCGCTGGTGCCCTTGTACACAGCAGTCTCCAAGATAAAGCGGCTGCCTTCGGGCGAGAAGTTCCAGAGGGGCTTGTGAGCCAGTGGACGTTTACACAGAGCACTGCACGGTGTGCACTTGGATCAGGCTCAGGGCTGATAACCACTATGCAAAGCTCACATTTGCACGTTTCCATGGTGATTCAGCTTCCTCTCAAAAGCAGCTGAAACCATAGGCCTGATAAGGTTTTTGAAATCAATTTGCTTATTCTCACTTTTTTTTTTTTTTTTTTTTCTTTTTGGG